AGTTAAACAAATTGTAACAGACAACTACAAAATACTACATTTTGATAACATAAATACAGAATATATAAATATACAAGTAATACAGCCATACACAGCTAAAAAATAGGGTGTTCACTTAAAAAGAGAGTTCCCAATGCAAAATATCTGGCAGTCCCTTCACAGTCACTGCTGAACAGAACAACAGTGGCAGAACCAAGAGGACGTGGGCTGTGTCCTTTAGGGAGGCAAATGACCACCACTTTACAGGGGAAGGCCTCAAGTGAGTGAGGCTGTGCCTAAGTCCCCCCAAAGGCAACACCTTCCACACCTGCCCAAAGGCAAGCACGTGCCTAAGGAGCCCCCTAGTGAGACAGATTGAAACCTGAAGCCCCGGCACACTGCAGCGGGTGCAGCTGCTGTCTGCCAGTGCCACCAGATGAGGAGAAGGGCTGGCACCTAGAGATGGACCAGCACATGCAGGAGCCCCTGCTCTCCGTGGATGTGGGAAGCGCTTTGAGCATTGGATTGTGTGCAGCGCAGCCCTGAGCACTTCATACTTGGAGTACTGTGGCTCCAGCTTCTGCAGCTTTGTTGTGCTTCAGTATACTCTCTTTCCTTTCACTTTTGCGACAAAATCTGGGACTTGTAAGAGCTCTTTCCATCTTTTTTGCTTCTGCTGTTAAATTTTAGCAATTTTTTGGGGTGGCCAGGATTACTGATTTCAAGAAGGTGCTCTCACAAACCCCAGCTTGCAGCACCCTGGGAGCATGGCGGAGAGCTGGGTTCCTGGGGTACCTTTGGATGTACCTCTGATTGCTAAGGAAGCTGGAGGGAGTCCTGAGCAGAGTGAGAAGAGGTAAGTGGGTTCACACCATCCCTGGAAGGTATGCCAGCATGAAGACCCTTCCCCATGCAATGATGGCACAGTGAAATGGCTGCCAACAGAAGAGCACTGACCTCCTTCAAGGACATGGGAGTATTCATCAGACACAGGCATGGTGGGTCTGAAGAATCCACTCAGCAGCCATCGTGAGACTGGAGCGAATCATGTGTGAGCATGGTTAGCAGTGACTGAGCCAAGTGGTCCAGGTGTTTTTAACGACAGATTTTAAAGAAGAAAATGAGATCAAAATTCTTGGGATGCTGTTTCAATCTCATTCAGTTTAACTACTGTATTTTAATTACAACTATAGTTCATGTTGTGACTGTGAAACATATCTACCACCAGCCCCTAAGCACTTAGAACACAGGCTTCATTCCATAGTACTTTGGAAAATAGTGGGCTGAGAAGAGCACTACATGGTAGGAATTGTTCCCTTGACATTCAGCCATGCAATGAAACACACTGCCACCCAGCTGAGAGCCACTTGGGTTTGGTGGCTGCACGGCTCAGAAACCATTTATGAATGTAGGAAAATCTGTGCGCTATCACTGCTTTTATGAACAGATGTGAAGACCTCTGAGGAAGATGTAATGTAGTGTATTCACTCTGATCTCACAGAGATCCTTTTTAAACATTATTGAGCAAACACCAAAACCTAATTAATCATCTTTTACTTAATTGCATCTTGTCACCACTTTACCTTAACATGTATTCCTTGCTTAGCCAAAACAACATGATTGAAGCACTGTGAAGACCTCACTTGATGCATTTATATTAGAGAAAGGTTAATTTCCTAGGGAAAATGATCACTGTAAGGTGCATGTAATAAACTGCTGTCGTGACCTCTAGCCTCCAAGCTCCCATATGTGCAATCATTGTTTGTGGTTTCTGTGGAAGTGCCAGATGCTAAGAATTTTTGGCAAGGGTTTATCAACTTGACTCAGTATAAGGTATTACTGTGATATGGCCCATTAAACATTTTACTTTTACCTGATTGGTGACATTTCCCTTGCCAATAGAAGAGTAAAAGAAAAATCAAAAAGGTCAGAGGTTGCTATATAATCTTTTACTGCAGGTCCCAGGTTAAAACCACAATGATCACGCTCCAGTAGGATAATTCATTCCACAAAAAAAAAAGTGACATTTATTTTGTTTTAATGAACTTTGGCCTTTGCCAGATATAATGGGTCTGCTGGAAACCTTCGGCTATACATTCCTTCTCTTGACCAGCAGCACACAGTGGCAAGAGAAGCATTATGTATGCCAGGCAGCTCAACTTTGTAGTGCCTGTGGCACCAGAGGTGGAGGAATATAGCTGTGACACCATCACACAACACACTTACGGAAAAGAGATGGTAGATACAGGCACACTGCAATGAAAGAGAAAGAAAGGGTGGCAAAACGCCATCTAAAGAACAACAAAGGATTATGGCTATTTTAGCTATCAAATGGGATATCTGATCCTTTTCTTGGAAATGGATTGTATTTTCAACATCAGGACAGAAGCAGAGGTAGAGTTGGGACAAAGCAGTTCTGCAGGTCACATTATAGCTCTCATACAAGTCTCTGTTTACATTAAAAATATCATTTCAATTCTGCCAATAATGAGGGACAAAGCAAGATTTGTGTCTAGTTTATAAATCCAGTATGTTTGAAATGGTCAAGATGCTTTTCTATGACTCTAAAGGAGCACAGGAGGAGGATGGGGGAAGAAAACAACATGAATCCATTGAGATTGGTGGTTGTGAATGTTTATAATGTGCCATACAAAAAGTGCTTGCCTTCTGCCCTGCAAGCAGTAAAGCTCACCTGAGTTCCTTATAAATATTTATTACCATGCAGAGAGAAAGGAAATTCTTTATTTTAATACACAAGGAAAGGGAAAGAAAGAAAATTCTTCCAATTTCAAAACATCGGGGCATTCACAGCCTTCAACTAAAAAGCCCTATCAGAAAGTGAGAGAATGGTCACCAGCAAAAGCACACGAGTGTAAAGGCCCCAACTCCTCAGAGAGACGAGATGGGCAGCTGCAGGGAGGGGAGTATCCTCCAGCACCTGCGTGGGGCCATGGGATCCTCTGGGCACCGGGAATCGTGGTATGGGTTTGGCTGCCGTGCAGCAGCAGAAGGGGTCTATCTCCAGATCTGTGCTTCACTGCTGTACTGTATGCACAAAGTCTTCACCCCCAGTGCTTGCCTCACCTCCATAGAGTGAAGCTGCATTAACTTATCTCAGAGATAAAAGTTTGCTTGCTTAATAAACCCCTAACTCACGGTCCACATTTCCATTCCAGAGAGAACCGTGAAGGTATTTGTTTCCTCAAACCTGGCCTCTGATCCTTGCCACCCACCCCTCCTGGGCACACGGAGAACTGTTCTGCACCAGGAAGAGGTGAGCGGCCGTGGCAGAGTCGCCTGGCAGGACGGTGCTGGGCGCAGTGAGCGCTCCCTGCAGGGATGCTGCCCCTCAGCCAGGACCCCAGGAGCGACCATGCTCTCGTGACCATGCTGTGACCTTTGCAGACTGCAGCTCTGCCGCACTGCCAGTCCTTGGCCCAATGTCATCCAGTACGCTGGACTTGGTTTTGTCTGTTACGGTCAATACAGTAAAGGTATTTGTTTCAGAAAGTTCTATCCTGCCAATCTTTCCCCATGAGCTCTATTTTGAACACACCCTGTAATTACTGATATTACCCTGGCAAATTTTCCCCATGAAGTTTTCTCCACTAAGAACCATGACTGTACTTGTCTGCCTCTCCACATTATAATTATCACCAGGCAATATTCATAACTATGCTATTATTATTTATGATATTTTATGCCCTACGAAAACCTATATGACATATGCTCAGACTTCAGAGTCTGAGATGATCAGACTTCAGCTGGGACATTCCCTTCAGTTCAAGCATTTCTTGCTCCTCCATTTGCACTACTACAAGGTTAGCTGGAGTATTTATTATGAATACAGGAGTCCCATCGGTGTGAAACCTGCAGGCATTTGATTTGACTCCAGTTCAATACATCCAAACCTCCCATTGTGATCTCTTTCCTACTATTTTTTCTCAGTTGGTGCACATTTCAGGACTTCTGATGGCTCAGTCTAGAATAGCATACCATGGATTCTTGCTGAGGCAAGACAATTAACTAAAGGAGTGCTTAATTATTCCAGATGGACAATGGAGTATAGCACACTTATGCCTCATGCAAAACATAAATAAACAGAACAGAATGAACAACACATCTGCCAATCGTAGTCTAGACTTAAAATTTGGCACTGAAATACTTAGAAACAAAGTAAATGTTTTATTCTCACACTTCAGAAAAATTAAATAAAACTCTGTCTTGTAAGCACCTTTAGTTTTAATTATTTAAGATCAATACTAATCTAAACGCCTCTCTCCCTAACATGCATCTCATCTCCAGGGTCATAGACCTTTTTTATTACAAAATCACTGGCTTTCTCCACAAATATTACTGTTAACCAGTTTCCTCAATATCATATGTATAAGGGCTATAAACTAATGAGCAGATCTAGGTTATGTAGAAAAAGTGTAGAAAGGAAACAAATGTTGAACGTCACATTTACATTAACTTCTCACAGTTCAAATGGCAATTTATCCACAACATAGTATGAATCATGCAGCAAGAAAAGGGAGGAACCTCCAGTTTCTTTGATTTATTTGTCATATGGTTGACTGATGTCAGTATCAGTGGCTTAAAAAAATTTAAACATCCAAAAGAAAGGAAGAGAGAAAGGAGGAAAAGGTCTAGCTTTCCGCAAAATCCATTTCCTTTACAACGAAGAGCTCAAACCAAACCAAAACAAAGGCTGCTGAAGAGCAGAGTCTTCTGTTCCTCTCATGCTTCTCTCTTGGTCTGGTGCAAGCTGAGAATCAAGGGTATGTGACTGGTAGATGTTTTTGTTTATATATGTATGTATGTAGGTAGGTAGGTACAGATATATGCACGTACATACATACATATATGCACACCAATACAGTCTTCCTAAAAATGCTCTTTGCGGTCCAGAGGCAGCAGGAGTCACTGTGAAGGAAGAGCTGGGCAACATATGGCTGTAGAGTCTGCACTGGAAAAAGTCACTGGCTAAATACACGCCGGCTGTTTGTTTTCGTTTATTTTCATGAGGCGAAATACGAGCTCTGCATAGAGTACAGCCTGTCAATGGGGTTTCCTACCCTAGCCTGCATGGAGTTAACTTCAGAAGAGGCAAGAAAACAGTCGCTCAAGCTAGTTAAAGAGGTATCACTGTCGATATCATGAAAAATGGAGTCGTTTCCTGCAAATGAAATGTATACATTAAGCTGTATTCTGTGCAGCCAGAGGACACAGTACACACGGATGCGATGCTTGTATATAGCACACTGCAGCAAAAGGGAATGCTTCTGGTCTTGTTTTTGCATGTTAATGCAATTTGGCTCTAAGGGTCTGACCTATAAAAAGAAAGGCTAGCAACCAATTTGCAGAGTTCAGCTGGCAGCAATATCATTTAGAAATGCGGAAGACTGCCAGTTTCTAATATATATGTCAGTCAGCAGCAAGCCCTGGCTGATGACGTGAGCAAACAGTCAGGGGAGAAGAGGGCTCCTGGTGCCCCACGAGCTGCCACTGAGCACATGTGGGGGCTCAGGGCAGGAACGCAGGACCACTGAGCCCACAGAGGGAAAAAGTGGCCTGAGCACCATAACCAGTAATGGCCTTGGTTTACACACGAGGCAAAACGCCGGCCGACAAAGCCGACCGGGCCCAGGAGGAGGCCCAGCTTTCCTGGCCTCAAATAAGCTATAGCTGTAAATATGCTTTCTTTTCAGAAAATTCCACTCTTTGTGGACTGGTTTGGAACACAGCGCCATTTATTTCCCTTAGCAACTATAATTTCAGCTTATTTCATATTTTAAGGTACCAGAAAGAGCTCTAGCTCAAGTAATGTGAGCTTTAGGAAAGTGTTACTCTGGTTCTTTTTCCTTACACGTTCATTTAAAATGGCTTTGTCTTAATTCCTGCATTGATTTTGGAACACAGGAGTTGCCTCCAGAGGAGTTTTGCTTAGAAGTTGCCAAGCACATTGTTAGCAACAAAATCACAAGTCATCTAATGCTCATTTGCACTTCAAATATCCTACAGTATTTACCAAATTGCCTGGCGAGCACTGTGGTCTTGCCCCAGTGGAAAAAGCAGTCATACAGACCCAAGCCAGATTTCTTGTTAGTCTGTGCAATCCATGCTCATGACAGTCACGTGCACGTTTAACTGCAAGGAAGTGCTCCCGGTCAACACAAAAGAGTCTGATGTAAACAGGTCCTCTTTGTCTACGGCAAGGCCAATAGTCACAGTCTGAGAAATCTTCTGAAATTTTATTTAAGTGCCACACTGCAATTGTTCGCAATCAATTGTTAGGCAGCTAATATGCTTGAGAAGCATTTAGTGTACCTATTCACTTGATGTTGCATGTAAGGAAATTGTAAAAGCAAACCATCATCTTGATTTTGGACAGAGAATATAATTGTGCAGGAGCAATGTCCTGTGGTGACATATCTCCCGATAGCTCAAAAACAAATCCATGCATGTGATCTGAGGGATCTTTGAGGGTTGGTTATTTATTTTTGAATAAATGGATCACTTCTCTTTATTAGACCACTTTTCAAGGCACTATCTTCCCAAAGCTTCTAGGAAAAAGGAAAAACTTGTGAGGAAGGTAAGGAAAATTTGTCACTGTTTATTTTTAGTCTTGGACAGTGATTTAAAAAAGTAAAGCTGGAGAGATAATGTTGCTTTTCTTTATCATTTATCAAAACTATACTCTGTAGTAGTGTCCAGAAGGTGGGAAGAGCCCTCTTCTACCCTTTTATGTGTACATGAAAATATACACACAAAACTGACCAGTAGAAATTCCTTTGTACAAATCCCAGAAAAAGACTATAACAGCAAGTAACTCCGTTGAACCTTTGGAGTGTGAACCAGCATACGAACCCTGCTATTTCTGATGCGGCAGAATGATGCATGCCTTACCATAAGGGTTCATGTGGTCGCCTGGCATTTGTGGAGGGGTCAGACCCTGCTGAAAAGGGTCTGTGCCATAACTGCTTTGATCCATTGCTACAATCTGCTGCTGTGGTGGTGCAAGTGGTGTGTAAGATGTCATCATCCCTTCCATTCGGTTAGACATTACTTCTGCAAAAGACACAGGAGGGCACAGTCACTGCTTAGCAACAGAAAGGCTGCAGATATCACTGCTGATGACATTCCTGAGCATAAGAGCACTGTGGATGCATGTAGGAGTCTGTGCCATTCAGAGATGCCTTCCCAATCTTGTTTGAGAGTACAACTATTAAGTGCAAAGATCTCTGGACCATATTACCCACTTGTGGGTGCTGGCTCATATCTTCCCAAAGTCTCCTTGTAACTGCTATAGCCCTTACATTCTCTAGTGCCTGTTCGTGCCAGCCTAATACTGCTAATGCAGAAACAGTACAGCAACTCTCTACGCTGGAGTGGATGTCATGTGGAGCAAACAATATATGTTTCCTTAACAGTAGCCTGCACAGTAGCCCCTCATGCAGCTCATGATCCTCAAGGTCATGACCGTTTTTCTGCTCCGCGTCAGAAGAATTTGAGGCTGCAAGGCCTTGAGATGCTGCTCTTCAGCAGCAACCCTGAAGCTGCAGGACATGTCCTGGCAACTCTGCCCCGGACCTGGGGCACAGGAGGGGCTCCCTGTAACACCGCTGAGCACGGTACCCTCTCTTCATAAGAAAATAAAGCTAACTGGAAGATCTCCATTAAGTGAGCTTCCTGGAGATTTCCTCCAATGTAAGCTCCTCTGCACTGCAGATTTCTTACAGGAAGGTACTGGCTTCTGTAAGCACCTCGTGGGTCTGAGAAGAATTTGGGATAACATACCACAGTCACTCAGACACAGCAGCTCTGTGTGCTACCACAGGTAATGGTACACTCTTGTCAATACCCTGCATGGCTGTACTGAGACAGTATGTATCCATGTGGAAATGGCACTTTGAGAAAGCTTGTAGGTTCTTTCCCCCTTGCTTTGCCTCCATCACAGATCCCCTACCTTGCCCTAGTCGCTGAGAGTTTTGTTGCTCCTGCTGCTGCTGGTGCCTTCGTGCTAGTTTTTTCATCTGAGCAAAAGAGGAAGAACAGAACAATCTCATGGGTCTGAATGGAACAATTTTTTCTTCTTCCAAAATTCTCTGTAAACGTCAAATCAATCAATATAGACCACTTATATTCATGCATATAACACTTTGGGTTCAGTTTCCAGTTCACATTTGCAAATAAAATTTACTCCTGGTGTTGTGCTTGTAGGACATGAACTTAATGTTCGTGTTCCTGCATGGATGTAGACAGCAAAGCATGCAAAATGTGCATAGTTCAGTCCCTTGGATCGTTGTGATATGTTCAACATCTCGGGGGTGGGGAGAAGGGAGTCCCTGTTGCAGAACAATTCATGTATTACTTTTGAGAACTTGAGAAACAACCTACCTTTGCTCTTTGGTTTTGAAACCAAACCTGGACAACCCGCACACTGAGTCCTGTTTCAGCTGCTAAAGTTTCTCTGACCTAGAGGAGGAAATGTTTAAAGCTGTATTTGTTTTTCCCCACATCTAGTAAGTCACATTCTGAGGAATATAATTGCATTTACAATAAGTACTGCATGCACAGAATTATTTTTTTTAATTCCTCATATTTTTGCACAGTCTGTGCAAGCTCTGCCCTTCACATCACTACTTTCATAAATAATAAACAAGTATTCTGAGCAGTGTGAAATGTTACTAAATCATTTAATGATTTTTAGCTTACTAATAAACCAGTTCTGCATGAAAAATTACAGATTTAGCTATGAATTATGTTTATGCTTTTGGCAACAGGGCACACTGCACTGTCCCAGGAGACGCATTTTGTACACCTACAGGACAGTGTCACTTTTTGCAACAAATTTTGTGATACAACTCCACTTTTTTTTTTTTTTTTTTCCTCACCAGACAAACTCAGGATTAAATAATTTTCTAGATTAGTTTTCAAAAGATTTCATTTTCATCAGCTTCATCATGCCTTTCCTTAGCTGCTACAAATGAGATAACACCATGGTTAACTTTCTTAAAAAAACAGGACTGGAAGGACAAGTGGTAGGTCCAGGGCTGTGCACCCACCTCCCCAGAAAGTGAATCCCTCTGCGGTGGGAAGGAGGGCTTGAAGTCACTTTACCCAGGTTCTGAAAGCCCATTACTTTGTTTTACAGCACACAAATATGTTGCTCTACGGGAATCAGTCACAGAGCTGCTCTACATAATGAATAACAAAAAATGACATAGACATAGAACTGGTCCCAGGACGCTTTCTGGTTTCTGCATTCACCTCCAAGCGCCTGCTGCTGGCCCAGGAAGGAGCAGGGGCCTTTGTGACCTGATGCTCTCACCCTGTGCACTGCTGGGTGTCAGAACAGAATGTAGGTCTCTATGGAAGCACCTACCTTCCTACAGGGCTTGGAAGACACTTCAAAGGATGCTTTGAATGCTCGTCTCTGCTGTGTAGTGAGTATTGTCCTCGGTCGTTTAGGTCTCCTTGGGTCCTTCCCATCATCACTTCCTTTTCCTTGTGTTACTTGTCCTTTGGTGGGCTTAACATCTCCATCTTCATCATCACTTTTAACTGGTGAAAAATCAACAAGATATAAAACTATTTGTGTTCCACCAAGACAACGGGGTATTTGAGAACTGCTCTTCAGCTACAAACTCATCAACAGGTCAGTGACTGTGTTTATCTGCAGATCTACATTTACTACAGGCAGGAGGAGGCTATCTTAAATCTGTGTGTATGGCCTAAATCAAATCCCACAAAAGGAGAAGAATATTTTTCTCTACTTAATATATAATAGAGGGCATGGGACAGATCAGGGGCTGTAAATTCATTATACAATGAGGTATCTCCATAAACTGGTACAGGGACTCTTGGTACCCTTCTACCATCATCTGATTCCCTCTTTGCTCACCTGCTGACTCTGCTGCAACCACACTGGCTAACACACACCTTTACCTTCAAAGAATAGCTTCATCTTCTCCCTCTGCACTACTTTCAGAGAGGCGCCGCTGTCCCCAAGGCTGAGGCAGCGAAACAGTCTAAGTGCAAATATTTCCAAAGTATCTTAAAGTCTGTTTACGTAAATATAGTGTAGATTCCAGAAATTGTTCTGAAAATGTTGATGCTCCGGAGATAATATTAAATAAAGTCTTTTCCCTGTCATTTCAGTATTCTTTCTGTGTTCATTACAAACTATCAATACGTGTATGCACAAATTTATTTTTCTTGGCAAAAACACAAATATGTATGTGCTTATGTAAATAGATTATTTGTATTTTCTGCTGTTAGGCTATGAATATTCTTACTGTCTAGTGATATTATGTATGCTGGTATATTGTACTATGAAATTTCATTCTCAGTGGCAAGCATTAAAGAATAAGTCTGAATTCTGATGCAAAAAACAACTTTTCAACTCAGTATATTTCATTTCAACAGACTACCAGGGTTTTTTTTCTACCAGAAGACATTAATGTACAATTCCAGGAACCTCAGCCTTAAGAAACTCACCATCATTTTGATATATTCAGAAATTACATTTGGGGAATTAACAAATTAGACTTTTATTCATTATTGGGTCTGATTATTATGCACCTAGCAATCTAATCACCTTTTACTTTAATAAGCATCTTTTGCCTAATGATTAAAGAGAAGTTCAGTCATTTTAATAACCATGACATTATTAACTTTCCAGCAAGCCATTTCTAAGGAAAGGTTAGTGAAGATTAGTACTGCTCATTGGAGAGTTACTTTTGTGTCCAGTGGATAAATATTTGATTAGAGAAGGACACACACTCAGCCAGGGGTACAGGAGATCATTTGCTCTCACTCAGGCACTTAGGAGATTTGTGTTTTCAATGCATTTGAGAACGGGAGACAAAACATCTCATTTAATTTGTCAACTTGTTTTTCAGGTTCATGTCTGGCTAACAGAGTATAATGGAAAAAAAACAAAAAGCACCTCCAGGAGTAAGAAACTATCCCTTGTGCCAGTGGAAAATGAAATTGAAAGCAAGCCTGTTTTGTACTTCTTCGGCAGCCGACTGCCCAGTTGATCACAAAGTACAAAACCCATGAAGGAACGTGCATCCATGCCAAACACGGCCCTCTGAGGCAGGCAGCTGGCAACAGCCAACTTCCAGTCCTGGCGTGGCAAGCTCACACTCGCTGGTGGAAGGAGCAGGATCACCATGCTCAGCCTGCAGGGCTGGGCACAGCTCCGCACTGTTCTTTTCAAAGGGTTTGTCTGGATACAGACTGCAGCAGGTTGCTGAAGCTGGGATGGCAGAACAACATGCTGAAGGGCAAGTAGGAAACTCAGACACCTCATGCAAATTCACAAAGAGCCCAAACCCTGTGATATTGGGATGACAGAGCAAAGCACTCATGCTCCTGCAAATACAGTAGGGCAATAAATAACAAGAAAATATCTGGTCCTGCACACCCTGCTGACACAGCAGTGACCTTTCTCTTGTTGCGTTCCCAAACAAAAATATAAATTCGAGCAATGTGATGAATATGACTCTCGGATTAGGGACAATTACAATAAGGACAATTACTGTGCCTATTTTCCCATAAACTACAGGCAAAGATCCAAGTTGTTTGTCTGCTTAATGGAATGGTGATTGTTGATTTTCTTGGACATTTTCTTGGGAAATAAATGAGCAATTGTGATGACTGGCACCATTCTGCACACACAGTCTCTAGTCTTGGACTCAACCAGGGCACACACGCAACGAGAAGTTTCCAGTCTCAGTGAGAGCACATGGCACAGATAGGAGGAATGCTGTTCCTCCTGTTTATGCTTGAGCCTGACAGGCAGCCCTCACTGTAACTGCTGCCAGATGCTCTGGGTTTTGGACTGCAGAATCTAGACCCAGTGTGTGATCTTTTTATCATGTACAATACTGTGCTCAGTCCCAGCCAGACAGCAAGCAGCTTTGCTCACTCTTTCAAAACTTTCCCTTGGAGGTGGCTGGAGGACACCCATCAGCTATCAGCTGGGAGAGCTCCAGGGCTTTCTTTAGGAGAAGCTCTGCTTGCACAGCATGGTGACCTGCCACCCATTTTTCTGGCTCATTACTGAAAGTATATGAGCAGAAGATTCCCTGATATCAGGGCAAAAATATTTTTGGAGGAAGGAATGCCTGTGGAAAAGAGTAGGCTTTGAATGAGGTCTCAGGTAACTGAAGTCAGTCTGATTCACGTGCTGCGATCTCACAGAAACGCACAGTATTGACCCCTTAAGAAACCTCAAAGTTTTTTCAACTTTACTAAGACAGCAGCAAATTAAGGAAAGGAACAAATTCAGGAAGAACAACTGGTAGCGGGGATTTTTAGCTGCGCCTGCTAGGAGTTGTAACTTGTATGGGTGACAAAAGCACGTAGAGAAAGTGGATGCGTAAACGGATATGTTTTTCTGTAAAACGCTCTGCAAGCTCTTCCAGCTTTTCCAGCTGGCACAGGAGTGGGAATGCTCACCTGAGTCGGAATCATCTGGGCTGACGGAGCTCAACAGGTCCTTTTCTTTCTCATAGTCACTTTTACAGAGCAACTGCCCTTCCTTAAGAACAAACTCATCCCCTTTTCTCAGCTGTCGCTCACAAACGCAGCAACAGAAGCAGCTTAAGTGGTAAACGCACTCCAGGGCTCTCATCACGAATTCTGTTGGGGCAATTTTTTCCATGCAGCCACTGCACTTAGCAGCAAAAAGCCTGAAAGAAAGAGAGGCAAAGAAGTCAAAGGGAACATCAGATCCACACACTGCATGAATCTAAACACATAAAGTTCTTTAATTTAGCTACAGATCAGACTGCCTCATACTTTTGTAGATGGGGGACTTGCATTCTTAGTCTTGGAAACATCACAACATATTCAAATCTCAGACACTTTGGACTGCAGATTCCCAAACTGCCTGTGCTGGATAAAAATATAAAGATTTGTTCTCATCCCACTGCTTTGTTCCTCTTTAGGATAAGAAACATTAAGGCGCTCTCAGAGTTTGGATAAGTTCCTTCAAAACCAAACTTATTTTAATTCACTTTTTAGAGGAAAGGCTGAGCCAGACTTTTCTTTATGCAGGCGTTTTGATTTCAGAATATATTTCATGACTTCACCTTTCTGGTACTGCCTGTGTCTGAGGAGGCTATAACAAATGAACACAGAAACAAGCATGGAAACGCAGTGCTGTTGCTGAGCAGATGACACACACATGCAATCACATACATGTAATTGATAAAGAGAGGAGTGAAATAATGTGGCTTTTCTTTGGACGTTGAGTTATTCCAGAATAACCTGTTTCCAAAGACAGTCCTGTGCATTTTAAATGGTGTGAAACATCCTTTGGCAGAGACAGGCAGTGATACAATCTGCTAAATTACCACTATAATCACAGGCTCTACAATATACACTATATTCCAGACTAATTCTTATTAAACCTTTATAAACCCCCTCTTTCATGCGTCATTAATTTTCTAAGATAAAGTTAGAATGATATTGATTAATTTTATTTTGCTTTTCTAATGGCAACTGGGAATCTCCTTAAGTGAGCTTTTAGGAAGGCGGCTGCTTCAAATAAAGATGAATAGCTGAGTTACGTCCCTGTACCACACAGTGGATTTGGTAATTTGAAATTCAGTGGCTTTTATGGCAATACATCAAAGCGCAAGGTGCATTAATATTTACATTTTTTCAATGAAATTAACACAACTGCAGTGATGCATTCACAAGAAAAAGGAGATTCTACATTGCATGGTGGCGTATGATGATTTTTTGTTGGTTTTTTTTTTCATCCTCAGAATTATCACCTTTTTTATTAAGGGCAAATATGATTAATTTTAGAAGGCGCGGGCTGTGGCACCTATTGAGCCTTCCAAAGCCTCCATTTTGTCTGAGCTGAGAAAATCCAGCAAAATGGCAGTCACTAGTTCTTCAGCAAAGCAATGAAGTCACAAAATAGGCACGAGGGAAAGGAAAATGTAAATACATTTGCATACTGCATCCAAAGAAAGGCAGACTGCCCAAGAACTTGTGTGGCTCTTACACCTGTATCTTTTGATCTGAAAAGAAATCTACTGTAGTAACTTTGCTGGTTTGTGCATGTCTTTGCACAACCAGAGATGCAGCACAACAGCCCTGCGTTGTACAAATCACAGAAGGAACACTGAGCAACTCCTTCTTGAGTACACAATGGAATAAATTTATTAAAGGAAAACTGAGGGTGTGCAGGACCACCAGCCGCTGCTGATGAAAGGGCCTCTTAATGTCATACTCTCTGCTGGGTCTGTTCACAACTTTTCTCTACTGTTAGAGGCAAACTTCAGCAGCAAGAGGGAAATGTGATTTTACGTTCTGGCTACTAAGCATCACAAGAATATCACAGTGCTTTCGCTAGCAACTTCCTATGCAGGAAATATTTCTATCTATGCACAATAGCATATCTGAAAGGATTAAAACACAATGGGGGAAAAAAAGAGCAAACAGATTTTAAGCACTTAAAAAAGTTGTTTCTGTTTAACTGCTTAAACCTATTTGACTCAGTTTAATTAAGCTTGTATCTTTTGTCTGAGGACTGTTGCGACGATGGAGCACACTTAAAGAATCTGAAGATTAGCAAATCTGGTGTGAAGGCATCCGGCTCCCCTGACTGCCATCAGTTCATTTATACTGGTGTGACAGTTAACCTGTGCACGCTTCAGTAAAACTCAATGGCTGGCTATCAGGAGGGATGGGACAGACCCTACATGTGGTAGCTGCTCTGCTGGGCTGCAGATGTAACAGCCTGACCAGGAAACATTGCTGCATTTCTGTTTCTACAGTCTCCAGGTTCCTGACTTCATCTGAATTTCAAATCAGTGCTACTAGCCTGAGAAATCTTAGAAAGAAACTCAGGAAAGCGACTGCGATCCTGCAGGTACAGGCACTGATCTGTCTAAAACCCCTCGCAATACTGCTGCGATGATGATAAAACCCAGCATTGCAGTCGGGCTGTTAATAAAAGTAGTGCTGAAAGATCGGTGTACTTTGGAGGCTTTCACAGAAAGAGTTAATGCAGGATGTCTGCTCCACCACCCCCCTTTGTAGGCAGACCAGGGAGGCCAGGCTCTGAGAGACACTCAAAGAATAAGGGCTTTTTCTCTTTGAAAGAAGAACCTAGCAGAGATGGCTCCAAGAGAAATGTACATTAAGTCTTCCTAGACCAAACCATTCCTACTGCAAACCCACTGGATCAGCACCAGCACTATGTGGGCAGCACTGCAGAACTGCACGCCAGGGCCAGGAGAGCCCAGGCAGAAAGGGGCAGGCAGGAACCTCCCTGCTTCCCCTCTGAGTGGAGCAGTAAGGGCAGCAGCTTCCCTCAGAGGGCTGCGGGAGGCCAGACAAGAAAGGCCAATGCAGCACTTCTGCAGAGAGCGCATCAGCAGCTTGGGGCCGCTGAAGCTGAGGCTGGACTGACACTGCAAAAAATGGTGCACGACATTAGATAAGACAGCAGCTGTCTCCAGTTTTCTCCCAAGCAAGCTGCAAAATCTGCCACCGTTCAGTGGAAGTGCAAACACAAATGTAGCATTGTTTAGAAATAATTTTAAGGAGGAAAGCATACACTCCCCCTCACATTTCCTAGCTGGAACATAATAATATTCTGTTGTCTTCTTATCCTTGTGCTACAGCGTGTATTGTTTACATGACCGGTGTTTTCTATGTCATACTGCTTTACCAAGTGGCTTTTCTTCCCCCTTGTTTGCAAAATAAAAGATATACAGAGAAATGTATTATTGTCAGTGTAGTATTAAATCATTCAAATTAATGTGCATTTGTCTGACAATACTGTGTTATTTTCATATGCTTAATTGTCCCTTGTCAATCTAACAACATCCCATAAACCTTACTTGGGTACTCTCTGCATTATAGCATGCACTCACCCATCTTACACTGAGTTGGATGTAATTCTGTGATTATAAAATTTTCATTACATTTATCATTTAAAATGTCTATGGATGTTTTTTAGCTTCCAGAAAGTAAGCCAGGGTTATGCACTTCTCTTTTTTTTTTTTTTTTTTTTTGCACAAGGCAGTCTCACAACAGGAAACTAATCTTGACAAATGACCAGACTTTGATATCTGTGACCTAAAACACTGCTCATTAGACTGTTCATTTTATAAATGAATGGTAATAAACCTGTTGAGAAGTGTAGGATAGCAAGAATACTTTACAGATCACCCATTTGTAGGTTTTAATCAAGGTAACACATTTGATGAGGAGCATGCAGGTATCTATGCAGAGACAAACACTGTCCTACTCAACTACATTTAAAGAAATATTTCTTTTGTTTTCTATACATTTTGCAAATAATTTGCATAGCTCTGACTTTTTACCCCCACGGCTGATTATCTCCAGCTCTCTTAAGTTAATGTCCAACCTCAAAATCCTTGGACTTGTTAAAGTATGCAGAGAGTGGAAATCAAATGCCTTTATTAGAAGCCCCAGGAAATCTCTGACTCCTAAGCACAACGAAAACATTCCAAAGAAAATTGTTCAAAGCAGACAAAGGAGAAAAGCAGAACAAGAAACCTTGTTTTGAATCAACGACTGCAAGAGTTTTATAAATAAATTATGTTGCATGGACTATTTTGAAAGACAACTCAATAACTTCAGAAGTTTTTAAGTGTGCTTGTCTCCATGACTGAACCACTTAGGAGATTCAGCTGAGCTCAGGTTTGGAACAATGGCCTGTTTGTCCATTCAAGTATTTGTAACAATCACCAAGAAGTAAATTTACAGTACAAGATAACAAAAAATATTCACAATTTTAAACTGGGTGAATTTACTAAAATAATTTTGCATTTATTGCAGGGCAATGAAATACTAAGACATGTGGCCCTGTCTTTAAACAGTAGAGGAAAATGTTCACCAGCGGAAGAGGCCATAAAGATTTTATTTGTTAGGATATCCCTGTGAAGTCAGGCTGAATCAGTAATCCTTAGGAACAACCACAGTTACATGATCTGTTGTGCCTTCCTGCATGGGCACAACCATCTGGTGTTTAATATGTATCACTGATTTATTATCTCTTGCACAGCTATCTTGCTGTAAGCTTGACCCTGATATGCTCCTGAGAATCACTGTTCTGCTGTTTACTCTTATAATGTCCTGACAACCCACACTTTACCTTTCTATTACTCATCCAGGTTCTTCATTTCCTCCTGTTTGTGGGCAAACATATTTTAATTGTTTTATTATAACTAATTTAATCTGTGCTGAGAGATCTCAATGTGCAGTGTGAAATTTGCTATACACATTAAGTGCGGTTCAAGAGGTTTGTTGTATAGGACTGAGGTATAAAAATAGACTCATTCAGTCAGGTTGTTTATTTACTGGACCTCTGCTGCAAAGCAGTAAATAGGGAGTTATTATCTATTATTTGATATATGCGAGAGGACAGATGTTGCTGTCTAACTGTCAGAGATGTTGAAACATTTTCCTTTCTCCGTTATTCTGACATTATGTGTTGCAGGAAACTACAGCAGATAGCTGCATTTTCTTTATTTAATAACTCTGCAAAGATGGTGGACACAAGCTTTTGTTAATAGCGTAGGTATAGTCTGAAACTCTGATACTTTTTTTTCTGATAATAGCTGGTATACGACATCCCTATTGTGCCTATATATCCAGCTGGGAGATCACTTGGCACTCAGAGAACAAAATATGTTAGAGA